GGGCAATCGCCGGAGCGCTGAGGCAGGCGGCGCTCGGCTGCGTGGGGGCGCGGGAGGGCGGCTCGCGGTTTCCCAGCCAGTGGGTGGTCCTGCATCTCCCCGGGCTCCCCGCGCGGTTCGGCTGGTGAGATCAATAAATAAGCCGAAAATAAATAAATAAGCGCGCGCACGCCCCGCCACGCAGGTTAAGGCAGGCGTCTCCGGCCTTTGCCTCCGCCTGACCTTTCTCCGCCCCCGCCCCCTCGGGCTCCTCTCGCTCCACCCCGGCCGCCCACCAGCCCCGGCGCCAAATGTCACCGAGGGAGAGCATCCAGGTGGATCTGTCCCGGAGGAGAGCGAGCCTCGATGAACAAAGGGAAGCTTCACGCGCTGGGCTGCGGCGCTTTGGTGGAGGAGAGGAGGAAGGGGACTGGTGCCTGGCTTCTCTGCCTCCCTGGGTCCCGGTTCAAGGCGAGCGTGGGAAAAAAAAAAAAAAATGGGAAGAGGGAGAAGCTGGAAGGAGGCGAGCGGAGCGGAACGCGCAGGAATTGGTTGTCTTCGGGAGACGACTGGGCAGCGAGACCTGCAAAGCCCCGTGGCGGAGTTTTCAAGTGTTTTTTCCTCTATCTCTTTATTTGTTCAAACCAGATGTTAATGTTGAAGGGGTTAAAATGTCATCTATCCAACTTGCCGAAAAGTCAGGCAGTCTCCTCGGTCTGGGTATGGCTACAACTCCTTTTCCCGTCCTTTGCGAATGGCAGGAAGGATTTCGAACCCCTGTCTAAATATCAGCAGCATCTAGGGGCGTGCGTGTCTTTTGAGTGCGCGTCCCCTTCGTTCTCTCTGCGCCTCTCTAAGAGGGTTAAAGTAGCTAAAGGTGTCCGTGTGAGGGCTAAGTGATGTGATGAGTGGCTAGGAAATTGTCACGGCTAAGCTTTATGTTTTTTCGTGTACCCCGCACCCCCGTAGCCCCCCCCCCCTCCGCCCATTGATTAGGATTCATCCTTAAAACCAAAAGTCTAACATTTGTGACCACTAGATGGCGCGAGTGACGAGAAGTTAAATCGACACCGATGGTTTGGAAGCTTTAGAAAGGTGAAGGATGAAAATGAGCTGACCCCACCTGGCATCAGAGCACATAAACATGCTGAGAGCCCCCCACACCCCACTCATTTTTTTTTACTGTTTCTATAAATTTATTACTGGGCCTGAGTCTGCACATTTTGGTGGATATGGGATGAGATGTGTAGTTTCCTGTTGACATCTCTTTGAAAATTAAATCTAGACAACAGAAAGATAATCCTTATCGTCACTAATATTTTTGGAAATAGTGACAGTTCATCTTTGTTGATTAAGAAGAGAAGCCTAATTTCTATCTCAACAATATATTTTTCAAAGTTGGGATTGCAAAGTAAATGAATTGTAGTAGGTTCACTTGAAATTGATTTTCAAGAGCTAGAGATCCTAGCCATGATGTGTCAACCACAAAACTTTGAAATGGAATACCCCAAAGAAAAGATCCGAACTAAAAAAAAAAAAAGTTTATAAAAAAACACCAGAAAAGGTGAAAAACAAACCTTATCGTACACGGAATTTTGTTTGATTTTTGCCTATTTGTTTGGGGGATGGTGGTTTAGGGAATCTCAATTAAGTAGTTAAGGAAATCCGAACTAATGCACTATGTAAGTATGGGAGCTCAGAATTGAAAACACCTGCTGTTTGTTAGTTGCAGAGAAAGATGCTTGTTAACCTATATAGCCTATAAACCTGGGGGGAAAAAGATTTATTAACCAGAAAATAAGGAGGGGGTGACTTAACAATTAGTGTAAGGAGATTAACCCTTTCCTACTCAACATGATGACTGGCGAGGCATAAACAGCTGTTGTCAGTGCATGTGTGCTAGCCTGTAGTGTGAGACAAGCAGCCTAAACAAACTTCCCTGGAGGAAACTGAACCCTTGCAAATACAGATATTTAACACTACCAAAAAGAAAAAAAAAAAAAAAGAAACAGTTAAATAAGCAAGAATATAAAATCGGGATTTCTTAAGAATGTTTTATAATCTGCTACCCTCACGCCACAAATTTTTTGATACAGTAGGAAGACTGTGGGTTTAGAAATTAAAAAAAAAAAATCTACACTCAAATTCTAGCCCAGTAAATTGCTCTGCAATTTTATTTCATTTGGCAAATTACTTCTCTGTGAAGAAATGGTAAATAATAAAGCAACTTTTTAGGTCTATTTTGAGACTTAATCAGAATACTTCTGAACGTGGATGCTGAACTTAACATAGATAGAGGTTACTCATTATTAATTCCTTTTCACTTTGATGCATAATGGAATGGCAGTTCATTTTATCTAGCCACATTTGAAATTCGCACAGATACATTTGAATATATTTACCTTTGCCACTGAGTTCAAAGATCCCCTAGTCGAACAGATGAGTGGCTGCTACTTTAGTATTCATTCATGGGCTAAAATGCTTTATGAAGAGTTTACACACACACACACACACACACACACTCACAAGTTGAACAAAGCAGTGATTATATACTATTCTTGCTCAGAGAATCCTGTTCTTCCTTCTTGTATTTTCATTTCATCTACTATTGGAAAATAAACTCAGAAAGATCAGAAAGAAATTCATCTCTCCTTTTCCCCAATCACCCTTTTTTTTCTCTCCTGATAAATGAAGCCCCACTAAAAAGCCTGATCATTTGAGATGGAAAAAAAATGTACAAAATGATGTAAAAATAAACTTTTGTAATAAAAAAAAAAAGAAAAAAAATCCTGATCATGGACTGTGTCCTTTTCCTCACTTCTTCCTCCCCCCTGCCTCGACCTAAAATACAATCACCCAATAACCCAAAAAACTTATATATTCCACCCTTATTGCCAGGCTATCCTTATACTGCCTGTGGATTTATTTTTTTTTTTTAACATAGTTGTGTGAAGTAATAGAGGCCCCTTAAACTTATCACCAATTTCCCCCAAAGGTAACAACTTTTATAATCAACCATGTCTTATTTGCATTTCATCAGTTTTGCATACATTAATTTTTGTGTGTTTGTACTTAGCTGTCTAATTTTAGCACAAAGGAAGATTTGTGTGACCACCATCAAAGCAAATATATAGATGATTTCCATTTTATATGGATCCCATTTTATAACACAACTGTCTCTCTCCCTCCTGCTTGACTTACCCTGTGTCATTCACTAACCTCTCTTCTTCTATAATATCAATTTGAGAATGTTGCATAAAAGCAATTATGAAACATGTAGCACTTTTTGAGATTGTTTTTACTCAGTAGAATTACTATTGAGACCCATCCAAACTGCTGTGCATACCAATAGCTCATTCTTTTTTATTACTGACTAGTACCATGTTTTAGTTAAGCATTCATCTACTGAGGGGTAACCAGAGGGGTTCCAAATTTTGGCTGTCATGACTAAAGCTAACTGTGAACAGTCATGTATATGTTATTATATGAACATCAGTTTTAAATTCTTTGGGACAAATGCCCAAAAATGCAATTGTTGAGTTGTAAAATAAGGATATGTTTAAGTCTTCTATGATAACCATGATTTTTTCCTGAGTTGCTGTATCATTTCATATCTCACTAGTAAAATGTAAGTCATCTGATTTCTCAGTAACATTGCAAATATTTGAACTACCACTTTTTTTGTTTGAGCCATTTTGATGACGTG